AAGTCAACTGACATTTATCTTTCAAAAACAAATTAAAAAAGAAAATGAAAATATAAAGAAAAAAGAAAAGCTAACTAGAGTGGTAAAAACCAACAAAAGCATAAAGATTTCGTTTTACTTTAGCTTAATAGTGTATCCAACATCTTTATTAAATATCACGCTCAATTCGCATGGGCATTGCTAAACTCGTTTATAGATTAAAAATGTTATATGCATTGGGATTAGGTTCCAAATTTATGATCCTTGGTGAGATAGAGATTCCAATCCATTATTTGTTGTACAAATATTGTTGGAGTTTGGATTTTCATATCTCAGATTTGATTGGAGAAACTGAAAAACTTCACTCATAAGTATATGCGCAATTTTACTTTACTTGTCAACAATCTATAATTTTTTTAAATTTAAAACCATTAGGCTAAAACACTCTGCATAACTTTAACTTAACATTAAAAGAGCTTGAACCGGCTTTTTCCTCTTTAAAAAACACTAAATCACAGGGATTTGATGATAAACCCAGTAATATACTTATTGCAAATAAAAAAAGTATCAGTGAACTGTTGTTTTTTATATTAAAACTTTCTTTAGATCAAGGGTTTTTTTAATTCCTGATGTACTAAAATTAGCAAAAGTTGTTCCAATTTATAAAAATGATCATCATTTTAAGGTGTCTAACTACAGGTCTATATCAGTGTTTACTGTATTTTTAAAAATGCTCGAACGTGTAATTTACAATAGAATCTTTGATTTGGATTTCAGAAAAATCAATCAACTGAACATGCTTGTATTTAATTAGCTGATCAAATGGCTTCAAAATAATAATGGCTTCAAAGATAACAAACTTACTTTAGGTATATTTATCGATCTATCAAAAGCTTTTGACACTGTTGATCATTGTATTTTGCTGGAAAAGTTAAAGAGTTATGGAGCAACTAATAAGGTCTGCTATTGGATTAAAAGCTACCTTAAGAATTAGAAAACGATATATTCTAAATTAAGAATACAGAATACCTAAAATCCCGAGTGGAGTACCGCAAGGATTAATACTTGATCCTCTCTTATTCTTAGTTTATGTAAATGACTTATTTAATGCATCAGTAAAGTTTACGTTTGCAGTTATACAACCTGCTTACGTTTGCAGGTAATACAACCTGCTTCTATCAAAACATGATATTAAACAACTTTGCAGACATGAATTTGAATTAAATATTTGCTATTTATTAATTTGTAAATATTTCGTTTATGGTGAGAAAACTTTCATTAAACATTAAAAAAACGAATTATACCTTTTTTCATAAAAAATGCAAGCAATAAATCTTCCCCTTAAACTACAAGACCTCTTTTTAAATGACATACAAATATAAAAGCAAGGCTATATTAAGTTTTTTTGAAAATTTGTTGATAAGATTTTATTTCGGCTTCCTTATATTAAATATTTACAATCAAAAGTTAGTAAAACTATTGGTCTAATGTATAGAGTTTGTCTATATGTAAATACAGTTTTTCTAAATTTAATATACTTTTCTATATTTCATTGTTTCATCAATTATGCTAATATAAGATAGGCTGTACACAACCACCAAAACTTAAAAATACTTAGTTTGCAAAAACATGTGTGTAGAATTATTCACGAGAAAAAATGAGGAGAGCATACTAAATCCTTAATGAGATATATGAAAATGATGAGTGTAAACGAAATAAATTTTTATCAGAACCAAATTTTTATGTATATTTATATTAATAATCTAACTCCAGTTATTTTTAAAAAACTTTGTAAATTTATTCAAATGAATTTTACTTATTATTCTTAGTAGATACTAATCATATATGTGTCTAATAATGTATTAACTATTAAATCTTTGTGTATATGTTTGCATATATTTCTAAATCTTTAATACCTAAATTTGCTATATAGTTATTGCAAAATATTTTTACAAGAGTTTAAATAATTTTTTCACTTTATATATATTTAGGTTATCTTATATACTTTTCATTTTATATTTTATATTTTAAATTTACTTTTATATTTTAAAAAGTACTTTTATATTTTAAAAAGTACTTTTATATTTTAAAAAGTACTTTTATATTTTAAAAAGTACTTTAATATTTTATAAAGTAAAAAATACCTTTACATTTTAAAAAGATTTTTATAACTCTTATTGACAATATTATGTTATATTAGGTTTGATTTAGGCGAGTTTTTAGTTTCTTACTGTGGAACATCCATATAAGTGAGCAGTGTGAGAAGTTTGAAGTTATAAATGCAGAAAGAATAAATTTACATTGTTTGAAAGACATATATGATGCGATTCTTGTAAGTTTACTTTTCTGCTTTTCTGTTTTTTTTCTTGCGTTTACTTTTCTGTTGGCATACTTGCATTAAGTGTTAACATGCTTTGAAGGAGAGTTTTTTGTTAAGTTTTATTCCGAGTAATTTAATATTTCCGGATGTTTAACTGTCAAATTAGAAATAGCACCCTCAAGGTTACTTTGTTTGCTAATATTAAGGCAATTTTTTCAGAATTTGCTTTTATTCTATTATTTTCAAACCATAATAACATTTTGTTAGCGTCTTTTTGGAATTTGGTTATAAATATTTACAGAAATAGCGTCTTTTATCGTGCGTACAGAGTATTGTTATTTGCATATCCAGCAACTTTAACGTCAGAAAGGAAAAAAAAAAGCAAAATAAAAAAAATGTACACACACACACATATATATATATATATATATATATATATATATATATATATATATATATATATATATATATATATATATATATATATATATATATATATATATATATAGTACCTTTCATACTATTAAGGATACAGGGTCGAAGAGGTTACTTTAGCTTTAGTTACAACCTCTTTAATTCTATAACTATGAAACACAATTTTTAAAGACCAAGCTGCGGCGCGGATAAACAAATTACGCGAGGCAATTACTTGGAAACGGTGCAGAATAACTTTCAGATTGTATTATGGCACATACATATCATACTCTTACATGGTCATTTTTATTTTTACCATTGCTAGATCAGTTTTAGATTTTTTTAAAATAAAATTTATTTTTATGACAAGAAAAATTTTTTTTAAAAAAAGAAAGTTCTTTTTTTATTATATTTTTATTTTATTCTTTTTTTATTATATTTTGTTATATTATATTTGATAGACTGCTTTGTAAAAGTAAAAGTCAACAAAAAATCAACAAAATCAACAAAAATCAACAAAAAATCAACGTAAAATCTTTGCTTTTTTAATGTGCAATATATTGCCAATTGTTGTTGGTAACGTTGTATATGTAGCCAAAATGTAAAAACAACCTTGCCAACCAATATTGTGCCAACGCAACTTGAAACATTGTTAAAACGTTGGAACAATGTATGCTTGTTAGCTGCGTATGAGTGATATTCTAATCTTTGTAAATTCAGTTTTTATTGATCTTTTCCTATAGACATCGTATTTGCAATAATGTAGAGGAGACATTTTTTACAAAATAATGTTATGATTTCAATTATTGAAGGCCTTATTATTGATCCTCTTATATAGCCTATTGTAACCCAAAAAAAGAGTTTGAGAACATGTTAAAACAGCTTTGATTTATATTTTGATAATATTTGCAAAATATGACGCAAAGACTTATTTAGCGTCAGAAAAAGCTTTATTTTCAAGTTTACCGCATATATTGTTAAACATCAGCTTACAACTCAGGACGGTTGTCATCGTCATTAGCCAGCGTTTTTTGAGCTCGTCTCAACTATTCTAAGAAACTGTTTTTTTATATTCAAGAATTAATAGCTCATTGGCTAAACCCTCAATTTATTTCTTCCTGAATAAAAAAAATGTTTTCAGCCGACTGGTAACTATAGATCTAACTAACTGGTCACTGCCGACAGGCAATCTTAACACATATTTTATCTTTTTGCTGAACAAAGGTGTCGTTTTTTGATTATTCAACTTAAAGTTGTGTTTTAGTTGTACGCTGATTTATTTCTAAGTTATTAAAAATTAATAGAGGAGAAGCATTAAAAGAAATAAAGGGTAATGAAAATGATAGGGTAATGAAGGAAACTGTGTATTAGTAAACATTGTACTACGAGATTTTACTAAATGCCAAACAGAAAAAATAAACAACGAAATCAGTCATGTTAGCGTTGTGTATTTTAGATATTATATATGCTTTCTATGTTATATTGGTTTTTTTTTTGGACTCCAAAATTATAATGAAATCTTCGAAACGAGGTTATAACCTTACATGATAAATGTGTGTATCATTGACAAGACAAAAAAATTACAGTGTTTAACGAAGGGGAAGGACTAATAAATTCAGGACTAGATTATAACAAGTTTAAAAATTAGTTAACTATGTTTTACTTTGTTGAATGAAGGAAAGATTACTTAGGCTTCGACCGCAAAAAAATGCATTTGTTATGGGTAAATTATCTATAAGGTATTTTATATATCTAAATACAATTCAAGAGGCAACCTATCACATTCCGGACTCTCGAAAATCTTTTTAGTTAGTGCGTGTAGCTAATGTTTAAGTTGGGAAGATTATCTTGAAACGTTCATTAAAACAAGAATTCTATCTTAAGCTGAACGAATCAAAAGATGTAGACCTTTTGATTAAAAGGAAGCTTGAAAGTACGTGGGCGAAGCATTTAACGTAAAAGCCACATTTTAATAATAAACGTCACTCAGTGTCATATATTGACATTAGAAATTACAATATCTAGCGTGGTAACTAGCAAGGCTTTTAGAAAAATAATAGATGGGTAATAAAAACATTAACATCACCTTACTTGAGAAACATTTTCTAAAGAAAAATAATTTTTCAGTTTAAATTTTCAACAATTTTTTTAAAATTAATAAATTTAAAGGAATTATACAAACAGATTCACCTAATATTTTAAGTTTTACCACGTATGCCCTTTCTCACGATCATATAAAATATATTCAGTAAATATTAAAATAACTAACATTAAATAACACAGCTAATATTTAAAAATTAATGTATTATTAACATAAAAAATAATAAACATTTTTTAAAATCCGTTGTGTGTGACGGCCCAACTTTAAATCAATATCAACAACATCAATGTTTACTATAAGGTAAAAAAAAAATTATATTAAATATGGTTCTTATAAGAGTCATATTAAACTTATTAATTCAGTTTTAAATCTTTAATTATTGATCAAATAAGATATTAGGTTTAAAAAATGTAAACACTAAACTTTATGACCAACAACAATAATAAAGTTTATGATTTTAGCTTACTTAATTTTACCAGCGAATAAAACCGTAGTAGGGTAGAGTAGGGTATGGGCGAACGTGGAGTAATTCCACGAATGGTCAAAACAGCATAACAAAAAATATATATTTGACAAATGACTTTTAACCTGCTGAGACGTGATGCTATGCTATGTTCCAGACCTACATTAATGCAATGAAGCTATAGTTTTTGTTAACGATAACTTTATTCAGACATTTTCTGATTATTTCATGCAAATTTCTTCTTAAGAAACATTCTTGTTGTACTTTAGATATAAAACTAGTTCATTTGTAGTTATTGTTATATAGTATAACTTTTGCATTAAATTACTACAATTAACATTTTATTCGTTAATATCAGCAGTATTTGTGATTAACCAACAATGCGTTCAAAAGAATCCAACGTAAGTAGGGTAATTCCAAATAAAATAGTGCAGGCCACTATGTATCTTCGTGTGCACATACGTGATACAAGCAAAATTATTGTTGATATGAAATCCTTGTATGATAAGGATTTGAAAGTCGACAGGTATCATTTGATTTTCATTTTGCGTGACAGGTTGTATGACGTAACTAGTACTCATAGTAATTTTTATATATATATATATATATATATATATATATATATATATATATATATATATATATATATATATATATATATATATATATATATATATATATATATATATATATATATATATATATATATACTAGCACAAACTACAAAACTAGCATAGAACTTGAACACAGCAATAATATAATTAAAGACAAACTAGCAGAATTGGAGGACCGCAGTCGGCGAAACAACATAAGATTCAATGGGATCCAAGAAAGTGAAAATGAAACTTGGGAAAAAAGCGAAAAAACAATACACGATCTATTAAATTCAAGACTTGGTATTAATAAAAATATAATAATTGAAAGAGCACATAGGACTGGAAAACTTGAATATGGTGGAAAAATGAAAAACAGAACTATAGTTGTCAAATTCTTAAACTATAAAGATAAACAAACGATAATGGAAAATTACTCGAAGTTAAAACTCTGGACAGAACGCCTATACATTAATGAAGATTACTGCGAAAGAACAACCGAACTAAGAAAGATATTGTTTATTGAAGCGAAAGAACTTAGAACAAAAGGTAAATAGGCAAAAGTGGTTTACAATAAACTTGTTACGCGCGATGCTTATAATAGGAGTTCCTTTGTTTTCGCTAGGCACTACAAGTATACTAAACTATTAAAATGGATTCAGTTTTACTAGATAATGTTAAATTAACCTTTAATTTTCTTCAAACAAATAAATATCTTATTGATGAGAGATCTGATCCAGATCTAAATTATTTTAGCGAAGCAGGTGCTTTACAAAATAATTGTTGTTATTTTTACGCACATGAAATAAAGGACTTCCTAGAGCGTGACCATTTGAATGCCTTGCATATAAATATAAGAAGCTTAAAAAAAAATTTTGAAAGCTTTTGCTTATGTAAGAAAGATACTCTAAATGTTTTTAATATAATTTCTTTAACCGAAACGTGGTGCGATTCTGACGAAGTGAATTATGACTGTAATATCCATTTACCTGGTTTTAAAATAATATCATTAGCGCGCAAAGCAAATAAACGAGGCGGCGGTGTGCTTATTTACATTAAGGAAAGTTTTCAAATTTTTACGAGGCTTGACCTGAGTATTTCTGATGACGATAAAGAGATTTTAACAGTTGAAATTTTTACCCAAAAAAATATAAACATACTTTTAAGTTGTTGTTATTGCCCACCTTCTGAAAAAATTGAATGCTTCAACACATATTTAAATACTAATATTATAAAAAAAGCTGACCACGAAAATAAATTAATCTATATAATTGGTGATTTTAATATAAATTGTTTTGATTATCACGTCAAGCAAAGCACACAAAAGTTTTATAAAGAATCATTCAAAAATAGAGCGTTTCCTTTAATAGATAGACCAAACAAAATTACCGAAAAAACAGCTTCAATAATCGATAATATTGTAACTAACGATGTTTTTAATGAATCTTTAAAAAAGGGTATTATTAAAGTGACATTTCCGATCACTTCCCCATTTTTTTCTCTATAAATATAAAACCAAAAGTACTACCTAATGAAAAAACAACCTTTTTAAAACGTATCTATAACGATGCTAATTTATTATCGTTTCATGAACAACTGTCATTGCTTCATTGGAAAGATATAAACACTTCATCTGACGTAAACTTTACTTACAACCAATTTTTTAAATCTTTCTATGAGGTATATGATGTAAATTTTCCGAAACGCGAAATAAACTTAAAAACCAAAAGTGTAAAATCACCATGGATTACAAACACCCTAAGAAAATTATCAAAAGAGAAATTACCGGTAAAACAAAAATTAAATCATGAGCTCTGAAAAATGGCATTAAACTTAATGGTGATATCTCTTATGATCCACGTGAAATAGCAATCGAACTAAACAAATTTTTTGACACGATCGGACCTAATTTAGCAAGAAATATACCAAATATAAAGAAAACAATTGATATCTCATCTATTGCATTAGCTAATCTTGATTTTTTGGAATTATCGTTTGAAGACTTTGAAACAGCTTTTAGTGCGCTAAAACCAAATAAAGCAAGTGGCTTCGATGATATAAATGGCAATGTAATAAAAAATTCATACAACGTTATAAAAGACGTGCTTTTTAAAATTTTTTCACTTTTAATCAGACAAGGAATTTTTGCTGATCAATTTAAAATTGCAAAAATCACACCAATATTCAAAGGAGGAGACTTAACAAATATCAATAACTATCGCCTTATCTCTGTTCTTCCAGTTTTTTCTAAAGTCTTTCTAAATTTACACTCATTTAATTAACAACAATTTATCATTTAACCACCAGTAAGGATTCAAAAAAAACAACTCTACAGAACACGCTATTCTCCAGCTAACACGTAGTATCACAGAATTTTTCGAGAAATCCGAATATACTTTAGGCATCTTCATCGACCTATCAAAAGCCTTTGATACAATAAATCATAAAATTCTTTTTAAAAAACTCAAATATTACGGAATAACTGGAAATGTTTTAAATTGGATAAAAAGTTATTTAAGTAATCGCAAACAATTTGTAACCATTGACGCTTCTTCTCCAATAAGTTTGTTAGAAATTACTTGTGGTGTTCCTCAAGGATCTATTCTCGGACCCCTTCTTTTTCTTATATATATCAACGATCTTTATCAAGTATCCAGATTAAAAACAATCATGTTTGCAGACGATACAAACTTATTCTTATCTCACACTAACATCACTACTCTGTTTCAACTTATGAATGTAGAATTAAACAAGATTTCTTACTGGTTTAAATTAAATAAATTATCGCCTAATATTCAAAAAACGAGCTGGACTCTCTTTCACCCGCCCTCTAAGAAAAAACTACTGCCTTATGAAATGCCATCCCTTTTTATTGATAACATCAAAATAATTAGAGTAAACGTTACAAAATTCTTAGGTGTTTATATTGATGATAATCTTTCATGGAAAAATCATATTGAAAATTTATACAACAAAACTTCAAAAAGTTTAGGAATTTTATATAAAGCAAGAAACTTTTTAAATAAAAAAATTTTAACTCAATTATATTTCTTATTTATCTATAGCCATTTAAATTATGCAAACATTGCATGGGTTTGCACCAATAAAAGCAAACTTGAACCTCTTCATCGTCATCAGAAGCATGCAGCACGTTTGATACATTTTAGTGAACGTCTTACTCATGCAAAGCCTCTATTAAAAAAAAATTAATGCCTTAAATGTATATCAACTCAATGTTTATATTACTCTTTGTTTTATGTTCAAAGGTAAAACTAATTCTTCAACAGTTTCTTTCTATGATTTGTATATATCAAAAGATAAAAATAAATACTTTTTACGCAATAACAATTTTATTAAGCAGCCATTTTTTCAAACTAACTTGAGCAAACTCTGCATTACTTCTCGCGGACCATTCTTATGGAACAAAATTGTCTTAAAAAACTTTTCTCAAGATTTTATGCAACAATGTAACTACAACTCTTTTAAACGAAAGTTAAAAGAATTAATTTTTACAATTGACGATCTATCAATTTACTTTTAGTAATTTTTAATAGTTTTCCCATTTTACCTCCACTTATCAAAGAACTATTATTATTTTATAATTTATATATTTACCAAGAATATGTATCAATATATATGACAATTTATATGTTTATTAACTTATATAGTATTTATATAACTGATCTTTATATTTATAACGGGTTTTCTGAATATTTTTAATTTGTTTGTATCACGTTTATTTCAGCGATTCTCGACAAAAAGACCTTACGGTCTTCTACGAGTCCCTGCGTTCTTTTATTTCTTATTTACGATTTTTTTTTTGTTATTTTCTTGTAATTTCTATATTTTATTTTTTAATTTGTATATTTATAACGGAATGTTGTTTAAAATGTAATAAAAAACAAAAATATATATATATATATATATATATATATATATATATATATATATATATATATATATATATATATATATATTTATATATCAATTGAAAGAACATAAATCAGATATTCAAAATAATATAAAAAATATATGTTGAAAGTATTTACTTAAAAAGATACAGGGGTAAATATCTTTATATTAAACCGGGGGTAAACTGTTGCTTTGTGACTTATAATAATTTTCAATAAGACTTTCTTGAATCCGGATTTTATTTTATTTTTAGTTTTATATTACTATTATTTAAGAAATATCAGTAATTATAAAATTTATATTATTTAGAACAAATTTTACACAA